CCGGACAATTGTTTCCGTCACTGTAGCTTCTCACTTGCTAGGACATTGATTGTGTACTATATCTTATATTACCTTGACTGGCCTCGTGGCTCCGGCTCCAGTGGGTGGACTAGTAATGCCGCCCTAGATTACTCTTGTTTAGTTTGTACTCTTGCTTACTGGTCTTCGGACCATGGCCTCAGAGGTTGGACTAATAGTGCCGCCCTGAGCTGCGTGTCTCATGCTAGTCGCCGCCCCTTGTCTAGCCTAGGGGGTGTGTCAACATATATTTTGTATATGTTATAGGCTAGATAGGTGCATGCTCATATAGAGTATAACACCTTAGGTTATATTCCCTTGTACCCCATCATTCTAGTCAACTTTTTACTCTGAGACGCGCGTGATAACGTCAGCAGTAGCGAGTCAATGCGGGAACAGTAGGTTCGCACGTATAGTCACTAGAAGGGTTACGCCACTCTCAGTCACACGAATTGTCACTAGTCATGTCACGCGAATAGTCGCGAAACACTACGAATAGGTACATCAGAACAAGTACTTCCTAAACTATAAAAATGCATGTATAACTCATTATTATTATCCTTGTCATTTCTGACATTTCCAATACAAGGTGTAAAGTCATCCGCTGACTTTCTACTCGTGGTTCCACCAACTCTAGATCCTGGCCACCCTAAACACGTGGTTCACTTCTATATGGTATTCTGAGCTAGTGCAGTTACAAGCTGATTTTGATTAAGTCATAGATCTATGATTATGTCAGCTGCTAAGATAGGAAATTCAACTACAAATTCTCTTACTTCTGGTCTTTCTACTAACGATCTATCTGAATTTGCTTTCTTGATGGCTAATCAATCTACTCAGCAATAACAACAGGCTCCGGCGCATCCTACAGCCTTTATGAGCCTTGATAACTCTAGTTATGCAAGAGCTATTGTTGCCAATTGGCATTCAGCCCCTGGAGATGAATATGCTGGGTCTTTTGCCTTTCATGGGTGACCTGCTCAACCATAGCGACAACAACAACCATAGTAGCAACAACATCAAATGGCTGAAGAAATACCATTCGCTCCAAAAGCTGTCGTAAATCATGCGGATTTTTTTCTAACTAACTCCAAGGTGAAAACCTCAACTTACTTTGATGGTCGCGACTTCTATATTTGGGAATTCGCGTTTGAACTTCTCGCACAATCTTTGGTATTTGGGGATATTTCAACGGTTTTATCCGTTATCCAGAGACAGGAACGACCGAAGAACATGCACGTTACTACAAGTATTCGCTTATGGTATATGGGGATATTTCGACGGTACAATTCGTTTTCCAGAAACAGGATGGTGCGGAATCTCTCACTTGAAGAGCAGTTGGGAATTCGGTGCTTCAAACCTTCACTCGCTCCAACCTTCTACGCCTGAGATTATATACGAATGGTGTATCAAGCACAAGATCCCGTTTCATGCAGCAATCTGTTAAGTCAACTTACAACAATGCAAATGCTTCTGGGAGAAAAAGTCGGGAGCTACATCAACAGGTGCAGAAATCTTTGGGACCAGCTTGGCAAGCGCGGAGGAAATCTCAGCAATGAGCGCTTTGTCATTATTCTTCTGGCTGGACTTGGACCCGACTGGAGGCAGTGCAAATCCCTTCTTCGTTCCCAAGGGAGCATCTCATAAACTTCTCTTTGCGCTACTCTGACGGCAGAGCAGCATGACTTGGACCTGTGCAACGCAACTCTGATGACGTCAGCAGTAGTGAGTCAACGCGGGAACAGTAGGTTCGCGCGCATAGTCAAACGAAGGGTCACGCCACTCTCAGTCACATGAACAGTCACTAGTCATGTCACGTGAATAGTCGCGATACACTACGAACATGTACATCTGAATAGGTACTTCATAGACTATAAAAATGCCGGTAGTACTCATTATCATCATCCTTATCATTTCAGACATTTCCAATACAAGGTGTAAAGTCTTCCGCTGACTTTCTACTCGTGGTTCCACCAACTCTAGATCCTGGCCACCCTAAACACGTGGTTCACTTCAACAAGTTTCGAGTTTTTTTTTAATATATAGACGAGTTCATATGCACCTCGCACAATTTCATGTTGTACCAAATCTGAAGAAGTTATATTTTAGGTTCACTACGAGTTTGACGACTTGCGAGCCTACGAAGTTTTTGTACATGCAATTTATTTCATTTTATGGGAGAAATGTTTATATGGAGGTTGATCATAACATCATGGATATCCAGTTGCTGACTTTCAAGCCCTAAGGGCTTGTGGCAAGTAAAATTCTGTTCTTTTCCGTTCCGCTCTTCCCGTCATTCCGCTCCCGAACTCCCGAAACATGGGACGGGAGCTCCGTTCGTTTTGATGTTACAGGGGTTTTTTGCCACACAAACAAGAGTGTTCTTGCTGCCCGGTACGAAATTAACCCAAAGTGTGCCCGCGACAAAACAGCAAATCGACAAGCTGTAAAATTGCGAGTATCGCAAAGTTCGCGAACCCAACAACCATCGTCACAGCACAACCCCCTGCCGAGACAGCCGAATGCAGAACAACCGCAACTGCTGTAACTGCCTTCAATATCAAACCCACTCTAGGCACTCTGGTTTAGACCTGTCGATTCAAGGGCAAATGCTCTTAATGCTTTAAACATTTCGGGTAAGCCGTCCGTCAGGGTCCGACATTTCAGGGTTTAATTCGGGACTAGCCCGTGATGGTTAAGGGTTTCGTTCGGCCCTTTCCCGGATTCGTCCAGGGCTGAATTGAGGCTTTTCCCTGATTTTCCGTAACAGCGTCTAGACATACACTTACCTAGGCATACCTCCTCGCCCACCCATACCACCCCACCTTCCCCATCGGTTAGGATAATTTGGCTAGGCATACCTCCTCGCCCGCCCACACCACCCCACCTTCCCCATCGGCTAGGATAATTTGGCGAAGTCCTCCAAGCCAGAGACATCCCTCCCACATCCCACCCGAACTCGGAAAATTCCTCGAAGTCCCCACACCCAGAGACATTCCTCCCACACCCCTCGCACCCCCAAAGAATCACCCCAGCCAAAAATCTCCTCAGTCCTCCAAACCAGTGACATTCTTCCCACACCCCAACCGAACCTAGGAAAATAGATGAAGTCTCCCACACCCGCAGACATTCCTCCTAACCCCCTCCCATCCCCACAGAATTCGACAAGCCCCCACAGCCCCAGACAATACTCCAACTCCCCTTCTCCCCACCCCCACTCCCCCTCCCCCATCTCCACCAATATTTTTTTTGGCTGTCTCCAAAGAAAGTCACAAGCCCCTCCCACACACTCCCGCATCCCAGAAATTGGCCAACTCCGTGACACCTACGAATAATTGAGAAATGTGCACTACTATCAGATTTGGCACACAAATTCTTCTGCAACAATAGGTTGGCTTCCCCACTCAGCACCTTGCCTAACCTGATGTTGGATTACGAAGTTTTTCTCAGGCAAAGTACTGTCTCCGGCGCAGCCTTGATTTTAAGTTCTGGTTTGGACCCCAGCCCGCACTCTTCAGGGCTCAATTCGGTCGCTTTCCGGAAATTTCAGGGCTGTTTTCGGGGGACCTCAGCCACCCAAGTATTGGCCCCAAACCAATCGACAGCCCTGCTCTGGTTTGGGGTGTCGGGCAGGTTGCATCACAGGGTATCTCTGATTGGCTGTGCTGTGTGTTTCCCTATAGTTTTGCAAAGTCGCTTGCTCCAGGGAAACGACTTCACCAGCTCGCCTGGGCAGCCTGTCAGTTTTTTTTTTGTTTTTGACATGGCTGTTCGTATTTTGCCCCGAAATTCCGCTCGTCTCATGTCGTCAGTTTTGTACAGCAGTCACTTGCCACACGGACGGTTTCTGCGAATTGCGTGCGAAAACCAATATGCGACGGGTATCCACCTCATCCGCTCCCGTCCCATAACTCCATTTGTTTCGAAAATACTTGCCACACGCCCTAAGTTAATGTTTAGGGGGTGAGCTTGTTAGACCCTTGATAGCGTGTCAGTTTCTCCACAAAGTAGTGTACAATATCCATTTTTCTCGAGCCGCAGGTGAATCGTCGTTATGAACCAGCTTCCTCCGAAACAGTTTCTCAAACTCGTGGGGCACATAGAGCAGCTTTTACGAAGTAGGTGGTGCGCGTGTTCTTGGTTGATACCAGAGTTGGTGAGCTGAATGTCCGGGGCTGGCTTTCTGTACACCTGTTATTACGGTTCTGAAGCTAGTTTTAGCTGAAGTCCAAGGTCTTACGAATTTGAGCCTATTTTCCCAGCTTTCAGCCTTCGCGTCATTCCTCGTCAGGACTCCCACTTAGTCGAGTGTGACCCAGCTTTCTCAATCAGCCAGGCGGTTTTGCCCGCGAATTCATGGCTCCCGTCCCTCTCTAGGCGAGTTTGCCCGCTTGTGTCCAAACTTTTCTCCTGGTTTGTCATGTCGGTTTCCGGGTTCCACACCATATCGTCGTCTAGCGTGTATTTGGACCTCGGCGATGTAGGCCCCAAATTCGCCGAAATCGCTCGTCTTTTCGTCATTTTCTGTGCGACCCCGCATAAGTCGCCGAGAGACGCAGAGCTGCTCTAAACGACAAGCCAAAATTCCTCCCTCGAGCTTGTCGTATTGTCTCAGTTCGGGTGCGCCAGCACAGTGGCCTTCTTCCCCCCAATCCCACCCAACCTCTGCGCCCAGCTGTCCCCCACTCGTATCCGCTCCGCACTACGATATCTGTCCTTCCAGCCCAAAAGCCCTCCCCCTCGCCTACATCCACCTCCCCTCCGCCCCTCCCTTCAGCCTCTCCCCCCCTCCACCCGCTCCGCCCACCCGCCCACCAACCACCATCTCAGCCCAGCTCACACCCCCGCCAGCCGCAACACCATCTTCTGTCACTAATGCTGCTTACAGCAGCAGCACCCCCCTCTCCCCCCCCACCCGTCCTGAGTCCTCCTGACCCAGTCCCTAAGGAGTCCCTTCCACTCTCCTTAGAACTGTACTGTACGTACGATTGTCCTGTCTGGATTTTGAGGCCTTACGCCCACTCGCAGCTTCCCCTGCATACTCCTCGGTTATCCTCCACTGGCGTCCCATGTCATCTTCACTCACATCCCGCGATTGACGTCATCCGTAGGTTCTCCTTCTAATCCGGCTGCTTAGCCTTCCCCCCGCTTTCGCCTTACCACAGCGTTCGTTTATCCCTCCAGCAGCAGTTCCCGATCCGACCGTCCCGTCGATCTTGCGCCTCCCTGTTCCGCACAGCGATTAGGGTTGGTTAAATTAACTAAGGGGCTTCGCTGGCCTGGTCTGTCAACCATTAGCATTCGCTCGAGCCTTAGCCTTAGCTTCTGACTTCGGCTCCCATGGCTGCATCTTTCCGCAGAAGACGGAGAGCATGGCGGTCGAATCCGCCCCTGATTTGAAGCCGTCCAGGGCCTGTCCGGGATTATCCAATTTCAGCCAACGGGTTGAGCGTTATAACTTAGTGCGACAGCACCAGCGACAGGAGACCTAGTTTAGACACGTCAACTGTACAGGCTTTCCTACCCGCCTCCCCTTCCTCCCTCAAATACCTTCGTTACTTATTGAACGCTTTCATAGAATCACAAGTGCGTTCCCCCAGAGCAGCGGAGCGCGATAGCCAGTATCCATTGCCGACTGCCACAGCGACTGCCACAGCGACTGCCACCGCTAACCGTGACGATGCAGAAGAGGCGGCGAGCGCTGATGGCGGGTCGACTTCCAGCGTGCCGGCATACGTCCTTAAATGCCTTGCTACGACTGGTCCTGGGACTAGCCCTCCTCGTCACCTGCAGCGCCAGATTCCAAATACACCCTTCCATAGAGCGACCGGTGATCTCGAGACAAAGACTAGAAAACGAGGCCATTCGCAGGCTCCTCGGCGATCGTACGTACCTGCTCGGCCTCGTATTGCCTTGATTCTTGCACTTCCGCGTGATTCTCCGCCGTTCCTCCCCTGAGCTGTCCCCCTGTTGGCACACCCAGCCATCAGGCAGCCCCCCCTGTCGCATCGCATTCCTTCATTGACTCGCCTCCCTATCCACCGCTACTTGCTGCTCCCCCCTTTCGCCCCCCCTTTCGCCCACCTTTCGCCCACCCTTTCTCCCACGAGCTTCCCCCCCACACTTGTCTCTCCGCATCCCCACGTCCCACGTAACTCGTCCCTCGCTTTTCCCCTTCCTCTTACCCCGTTCCCTCCTCCCCCACTCCCTCCCGCTCCCCACTCCCCCAGAGGCCTTTGCGCGGCGGCACCTGGCGTCCGCGTTCGTGGGCACGGTGGTGACGCTCTTCGCGCGGCCCGCGCTCAACGGCAAGTACGCCAACGTGCAGGCGCCCTCGCCGGGGGAGTGCCTCACGCTGCCCGCCGCGTTCAAAGGGCAAACCCAAAGCGCGGCGATTGCGTGGAACGTGAAGTCCGCCGCGTCCGGCGGGCAGGCCGTGAAGCTGTGCGGCAGCGTGAGCCTGTGGACCGGCGAGAATTGCGGCGGGTACTCGAGCGTGTTCGTCGTCCCCGGGGGCTGGCGCGAGGCGAGTGCGTCGAGATACGACTATCCCGACACGCCCGTCAAGTGAGGCGCGGGGAAAGGGGGGGGGAGGGGCGAGTGGGGGAAAGGGTCGAAGAAGGAGGAAGGAGCGGGAGAAAAGAGAGTGAGGGGTCCGGGGAAGGGAAGGAATGGGTGGAGAGAAAGGGGCGCGTTTCTGAGGCGGGGGCCGGGGCGGAAGGGAGGTGGCGAGGCGGAAGATGATTAGAAAGAGGCTGGGAGCTTTGGCTGTTACTAACGCACGTACTGGTCAATTATAGTCTTCGACTTCCTCACGCGCAATCCCCTCGCCTTCCCCCCCCCCCTCGCAGGTTCTTCACCGGAGTTTACTCGCCCATCCGCTCCATATCGTGCGCCAACTACGGTACGGCATCTCCGCCCCGTTCCGCCCACTGCCCCCTTCTAATTTGCCGCTCGCTCGCCCACGGCTGCTCTTCCGTGCCCTCCACCCTCTCCGCCCTTACCCCTCCGTCCCTCGTTACTCTTCCTCACCCATTCAGCCCCATCTTCCCCTCCCCTCTTTCTCCCTCCCTGACGCTATAATCACACTGCCTCCTCCCCTCCTCTCCTCCTTCCCACCCTTTCTCCCCGCAGTGCCCAACCCGTGCACGGGGTACCGCTGTCCGCCCAACTCGCAGTGCGCGCTCGACGGGGGCACGGCGCCCACGTGCGCGTGCGTGGCGGGATACACCATGCGGGACGGGGAATGCATCAGTGAGTGCGCCTCGCCCCCCGCGCCGTGCTGCACGCCGCATGCTTCTTGCTTTGTGCTTTACGCTGCCATGCTGCCATGCCTCACCAACCCCATGCCTCTGCTGCGTTATGCAATGCACGTCTCACATCCCGCGCGCCCTGCTCGCCCCTCCTCTCGCCCCATCTTCCCTCACTCCTCATGCCACATCTCCCCCCTTCTCCCTCCCCTCCCCCCTCCCCCTTCCCCTTCCCCTTCTCCGCTCCCTCCCCGCCTCTGCCCTGCGCGCCGAGCAGACACGTGTCAAGTGACGGCGTGTCCGGCCAACGCGTCGTGTTCGCTGGTGAACGACCGGCCTGTGTGCGCGTGCAAGGACGGCCTGCTCATGCGGAACGGCGCCTGCATCGGTGCGCTCTCCCATCCTTTCTTGTGCCTCCTGTTCCTTCCCTTCCCTTCCCTTGCGCCCTGCATGGCCTTGCCATAAACGGCTCTCAAAGTTTCTTTCTCCCCGTTGCATCCACCGAGCTTCACTGTCCCCTCGTGTGCTGCCTGATTATCCCGCTTACCCTCTACCTCCCCCCTCCCTTTTCCTGTCTGTCTCCCCCCTCCGCGCAGACCCATGTGCGGAGAGCGCGTGCAAGGCGCCAGCGACGTGCATGGTGGACAGCAGCACCAGCACTGCGGTGTGCGCATGCCCGCCGAACTGGCGCCTACAACGCGATGGGGTGTCGTGCGCTGGTGAGTTGGACATCTATGAGAGGGGAGATTGGGGGGGAGATGGGTGGCTTTAGATGCATGCTCGAGCGCGTGCACACACACAAGAAGCGGTACACATACACGTGGTCGTTGTGTTGTCACGCACCTGCGCGCACATCCATAGAACGCACAAATTACTCAACTCTTCTCTACCCCCTCATCCATCCCATCCCATCCCATGCCATGCCATGCTGTCCCTACAGACCCATGTGCGATGGTGCAGTGCCCCTCGGCATCGTCATGTGTGGCGGTGAGCGGTGCTGCGACGTGCTCATGCCCCAAGGGCTTCTCCTTCTCCAAGGCCACGTGCATTGCCTCCAGTACGTCCTCTCCACCACCGCCACTCCTCGCCTCCATACCTCCCCCTTTCCACCCCTTTCCACTCTGCCTGCCGCCGCTCATGCCACTCCCCCATTGTCTTCTGAGCAAGGGTTATTTCCTTCAAAGAATTGCGGCCTTCCAGTTTGCTCTGCTCTATCAACTCAGCTCCGCTCTCTCATCCGCCCTGTGCGTGTGTCTCTTCCTCCCCCGTCGTGCAGGCGTGGTGAAGAATGCGGAGTACCTGGACGTGCACAATGGCGCGCGCTTCGCTGTGGGGGCGCCCGAGATCAAATGGAATGACACATGTGAGCCGTCGCATGCAAGCCCCTAGTGTCACGCCCTGCCCTGCCTGCCCCGCCCCAGTGGCACATGGTGCTCTCTACTCACACACCCCTTCCCTACGCCCTTCCTTTCCTGTCCCGTCCGCTCCAGCCCATCTCATCTCGTCTCTTGGGTGAGCAACTCTCACACCCTTTTCCCCTCCTCCCCTTCTCCCCAACCCCCTCTCCCCTTGGCAGTGGCAAAGCTTGCGGCATCATGGGCTTCACAGCTGGTCACCAACAGCACCATCAACAGCAACCAGTGCGGCACGCTTGTGCACGGCATGTACGCCCTCCCCTCCGCCTCCTCCCAAACCTCCTCCCTCAAAGCCACAGCTTTGAAGTCAAAGTCCAAGTCGTCTCTTCGCAAGTCCTCCGCCCTCCCTTCCTCCATCCAGTTCGCCTCCCCTCCGCCGTCCTCCTCATCGTCTACTGCTTCTCTACGCCTGGGGCAGAATCTAGCAGCGCTGACAGGGCTGGGGCCGGGGCAGGTGGCGGGGGCGAGAGCTGGGCTGAAGGTGTGGGTGGAGGAGGGGGCACGGTACTCGAGAGCCGTGTTTGTGGGGGATGCCGGGGACTCTGGCTCTGGGTGCAGTGGCGGAGACTGGAAGGCGTGTGGCCACTACACGCAGGTAACGATTGATCATACTCACCATTTTGACACCTGCTCCTGCTCTCCCTGACCTTCCCCCTCTTCCCTCCTCTCCTTCGTCCTGCGTCTTCGTCCTCCCGCCTTCCCTCTCTAGTCGTCCTCGCTCCCTGTCACACTCACATTGCCTTGTTCTGCTTCTTCTCCTCTCTCTCCTCTCTCTCCCCCTTTCCCTCGCCCCGCAGATGGTATGGCGGACCACCACCTCTGTCGGCTGTGCCACAGCCACATGTCCATCAGGAGCAGCTCAAGTGTGGGTGTGCAACTACTACCCTCCCGGCAACGTTATCAACTCCTACCCCTACTGACACCCTCTGATGCCTTTCTAACCGTCCTCCGCCGCATTCCTTCTCACCCTCTCCTCGTGCCTCTGCCTGCCGAGTCCCCATCTGTATCATCTACTTTTCCACAACACGCACTGCTGCTGCCGCTAGTGCCGGTGGTGTTTGCTGCCTGGATGTAACAAAGGTCTGCTCAGACCGCCAGCCTCGGCCCGAGCCTTGAGCCTGTTCTTTTGCTGCACCTCACCTCTGGTGGCTGGGTGGCTGGGCCCGGCTTGACCTCGGGTTGGAGCGCTGCTGTACCATTACTGACGTAGCAGGGGTAAACTTTGGGAGTCCAAGTTCCGGGTTTAGGGTAAAATGCTGTTTTGCGATAGCCCTGCCCTCTCCACCAGTGCGGAACAATATTTTACATGGTTGCTTCTTTGCGAGTGCCACATTATGTTCATTCGTTAATATATTCATTGAATGTTATTCGTCGATTGAATCCAATCTTGCAAAGCGAATGCTTAAATTATGCTTTGAGTTGAGTCGCTGTACACCTCTCAATAGAAAGTAGTCAGCTCTTACTCGTGATGCATTTTCTGTAGCACGGCAAAGCGCCTACTAAAGGGAACAGCACCACAAAACCCCGAGTCCCGACCCCCATCCCCTCCAAAGCCCTGCCTCTCCACCTCCACCCCAACAACGCCTTCCCTGCCCACAGCACAGCAGCACGCACACTCGCAGCCTCGTAGCTTCAAGCCACACCGCGCAACCACTAACGAGGAGTGGCCGCGCACCGCCTTCCTCGTCTGTGCTTCCCAAACTGCCCGCACCTCCCCTTTCAAGCGCGCTGATTGTTGCGCCATGGGCGGGTCTCGGCGGAGATTGAAGCGGGGAAAGGCGCCAGTGCGCGTGCGACTTCCCAAGATCAAGAAACCCGCTCCGGCCCCAGTGAAGTTACCGGACGGACGAGTGTACGCCACGTCGATCCCAATCCCCCTTTCGGCTCCCCATTCCGCTTCCCCCTCCCTTCCCCCCTCTCCTTCCCCTCCAGTTGAGTCCGTTCACACCTAGATTATCCCTATCCCCCCCTAGATGATCGTATCCCCGTCCTCCCACCCACCCCCTCACCAGACCCACCCACCTCCCCAATGCACTCCCCCGTATCCTTCCCCCTCTCGACTCCCCTCCCGCGCCGCAGCATCGAGTGGAATCGCGACGCGTCGCTGCGCAAGAACTACCGCAGCGCGGGCCTCGTGGTGGACCCCTTCGAGATCAAGCCGCGCGCCAAGACCAATGCCAGCTCGCGCGGCGTGTTTCTCGAGCAGGGCGCCGCGCACGACGGCGACGAGAGAGAGGACGGCGCCGCGGCCGCCGCCGGCGGTGATTTGGCGGGGGAAGGAGGGGGCGCGGATGCGGCTGACGGGGGAGGAAGCGGAGGCGAAGGAGAGGGGCACCTGTCGCATGGTGAGCGGGGCACTGGCATTTCCAAACTCCCATGCCCCATACCCCATACCCGTTCCGAACCCGTCCTCTCTTCCCCTCCTCCGCCCCCCTCTCTTTCAACCGCCCAACCCCTCCACACCCCCCTCTCCCCTCCCCCGCGCTGGTTACCACCCCGCTGTTCTTTTCCAATCACCAAATTTTAGAGCTCACTTCCCGAAAGCCCTTCCTTCCAACCCCCTTCCCTCCTTTTCTCCCCATGCCCCATGCCCCATGCCCCATCCCCATCCCCATCCTCCATGACCCGCTGCCCATGCGTATGACCCATGCAACATCGCCGTTCCCCTCTTTGCCCATACCCATTTTTCCCAACACCCTCCCCCCCTCCCCCTCCCCCTCCCCCTTCCCCGGTCAGAGCTGCTGGCGACGCTGGGCGTGGTGAAGCGGCATCCCGACGCGCCTCCACCGCGCCTTACACGCGTGCAGCGCACCGTGGTGGGGCGCCTGCTGGCCGTGCATGACACCGACTACAAGGTGTGTGCTCGCACGCACGCGCAGGGGGCTGCATGTGCGTCCATGGCGTTGTGTGCTTCCATGGGACTGGTTCGCACACTGGTTCCATGGAAGCACACTGGTTCGCTCAGTTTCCAGGCTAATCAAGCTGTTTTTTTTTTTCTGCCCCCCACTGGTTGCATCTTCCTCTCTCGCTCGCTCCCCATCTCTCCCACGCCTTTCTCCCACCCATGTGGCGTCATTGACATGCCTCCCCTCTCACCATGTCCCCCCCGTGCCCTGCGCTGCCCTGCGCTGCCCTGCCCTGCCCTGCGCTGCCCTGCCCTGCCCTGCCCTGCGCTGCCCTGCGCTGCCCTGCCCTGCCCTGCCCTGCCCTGCCCTGCCCTGCGCTGGCCTGCCCTGCCCTGCCTTGCCAGGCCATGGCGCGGGACATCAAGCGCAACCGCATGCAGCACTCGCCCGCACAGCTGCGGCTGCTGTGTGAGCGGTACCTGGCACATGAGAAGACCCTGCCCGACCCTCACTAGTGCAGCTCTCATCTGACCATGGCGCCTGCAGCTGCTGAGGCTGCTCCACAGCCCCACCCCGCATGGCTTTACTTTCTTCAAATAAAGTATCGAATGGATGTAATATTGTTTTCCTCCCACACTTCTTAGTATTGCTTTCAAAACCCTAACATGCACATGTCTGAGGAAAGAAACAAAACTGGCGCTCCTGTCACTTATTGCAGCACGGCATGGCACACATCTTCAACTACGGAAGCACACAAGATGCCACACGTATACACTGGCGAGAATATCCACGTCCACACTGAATAACAACTTCAGCTCCAGCCAGCCGCTGGCCGCTCTTGTCGCCTCGCACTGCCCCTACCTCCTTTCCTGCCACCGATTCTCCGCACCGCAGCATCCACCCACACCGCATCCATCCCCTCCACATCATGTGATCACACCCATGTGATGTGACCCCTTGCCCATCACAGCCGCGCCATCACGACCACACGTCGCGCACGTACCGCCCCTTGCCCATCATCTCCTGCAGGTGTGCTGCCGCAGAGGGTGCTGCCATGCCCCCATGCGCCTGCAGGATGGCCTGCAGCGCCGCGTGCACGTCCCGCACCATGCTCGCACCATCCCTGCTCACACAGGCCGGGAGAATGGGAAGGGGGGTCAGGGTGGGGTGCAGTGAGTGGGCGACATGAGAGATGATCAAGAGGTAAGAACGAGGGAGAGCAGGCAGAGAGCATGCGAACATCCACCACCCGTAATGTCACAGCTTCCCATTTTATTGAGCTCCAAACTTCCCTCCTGCAGCAGCTTGCTACTACATTTGCTGCCTCTCCTCCTCTCCACCCCCTCCCCCCCTCCCCACACTCACCCGCATATGAAGACATAAGTGGCGGCATTCAGCAGCAGTGGTGCCAGCTCCGCGCCTCTGGCCTGCATCTTGTGCTGCACATACACCTGTAAAACGCACCGGGCGCAGACACACATGCGCACACATGCAGACATTCAGAGAGAAAGACATGCATTAGATTTAGAAGATACGGCAAGAACAGCCCAGGAGCACTCGCGTGCACAGCAAAACTTAATTCCACAACAACCCCCCCCCCCCCCCCTTCACCCCTGTCCTTGCCAGCTCGTGACAAGCCCACACATACCCTTCTGACATGTTGAACAAGACACCCCCCAGCCATGTGCACCAACCCACAAAACTCCCCTCGCCCGCCCCCTTTCCCCTCTCTCCCTTCACCTTGTCCTTGCCGGCACGTGAGAAGGCGACATCCAGGTGCGAGAGCGTGCCGTCCGCCACGAACCCCTCAAAGTCCTCCCGGTACAGCCAGTCCTCATCCTCCCTCCTGCACCCGAAGAACAGCCAGCTCTCCCCTGCTCCTCCTCCTGCCGCTGCTGCTGCTCCGTCCCCCTCCCCTGCCGTGCTGTCCTGCGCCTCACTCCCTCGCAGCAAGCTGCGCCTCTCCTGCAGGAAGCCTCTGAAGGGCGCCACGCCCGTGCCCGGCCCGATCATGATCAGCGGCGCCGACAGGGAGGACGGGTGGCAGAACCTTCCCCCGGGCTTGGGGAATACGGAGAGGGCAGGGACAGGGGGCGGGAGAAGGGGCGAGTCTTCCCCAGCTGCCCCCGCCACCTGCTGCTGCTGCTGGGATTTTCTCCTGGCCACTCGTTCCCGGTCCTCTGGAGCTAAAGGCAGGGACTGTTCGAGCCACGACGTGCAGACCCCTTCAAACACGCGCGGCCCAGCCAGGGGACAAGCGCCATCGCCACCTTCACCAGCAGCAGCAGCAGCAGAAGCGGCAGCAGGCATGAGGTCTGGCAGCAGCGGCTGCAGCGGCATGTGCACGAGGCTGAACGCAAACGACACCGAGGTGCCGGGAGGGGAGGTCGCGCAGGGCGACGACGACAGCGAGTAGAAGCGCGCCACGAGCGGCGGGAGCGCGTCCAGCAGGTGAGCCAGGTCCGGCTGGCAGGAGGGGAAGGCGAGCAGCAACTCCAGGAGGCTGGGCCGGCGGTCCATGACCAGCTCTCTGTACGCATCTCTGCCACCGCGCGAGGAGAGGAAGAGCAGGCGCTGCTGCTCCCTGCGGTCGCTGCAGTAGTCTGCGAGGATGCGCAGGAGGCCCTTCTTGGGCGTGCCCTTCACGTCGCAGCAGTGCAGCAGCGCGTGCCGGAGAGTGCAGCGCGCCGGGATGTGCCCCCCGTCGCGGTTGCTCGCCGCTGCTGCCGTCACAGCCGCACCAGCAGAAGCAGACGAGCCACCAGCAGCACTCGCAGCACTCTCCGCATCAACCAGAGAGAACACCCTGTCCCCATCCACCCCCAGCCTCGCGAGCAGCCGCTCCACCGTGGCAGCATCATTAGAGGGCACCACGCCGACGCTATCCCCCGCGGCCATGGTCACCCCTGCGTGCACGGCGGCCGCCACGTCCACCTCCACATGCACCACCACACGGTCCGACCACTCCGCGGACAGGAACCGCGCCGATAGCACCGGCGCGAGCAGAGGGTTGGAGTGGGAGAACGGGGGAGTGGGTGACGAGGCAGCAGCAGCTGCAGCAGTGACGGCAGAGGCAGCGGTAGTGGCGTCTCGTTCCTCCTCGTCGAGCCACACGAGGCGGATGCGGCAGGCCTGCAGCGGGGGCACGCCCACCAGCTTCACCTCCTCCTCCTCCTGCGCCTTCCCCCCCGCCTGCTGCTGCTGCTGCGCGCCCCCCTCCCCCTCATGGTCCACAGCGGCCGCCAGGGGTGCCGGCGTTGCCAGAGCTTCCTGAAGAGGGCCCCATATGGTGGCCGTCCACGCCTCCACCACTTCCTCCAGGCTGGTGTGTTGGGGAGCCGGAAGGGGGGCGGGGCAGCAGGCGGAGAGGGGATGGTGGAGAGGGAAGAGGGATGGAGAAAGGAGAGTGGGTGACGTGAGCAGGGAAGAGCGGAGGAAGACACGAGCAGACGAGACGAGGCTTGGGGGGACTGAGAGACCACGGGGCAGAATTGATTCGAGCGCTGGGGACCAAGGCACAGAGGGGTCAGCTGAATAGCCAAGGTGGCAAAGCTGCAGATGTGGCACGGCGGCGCTCACCCGTCCACCTCGTCCGCCTCGCACGCCTTGCACAGCAGCTGCGCGCCGAGCTCCGGCAGGCGGCGCGAGAACACGCGCGGCACCGCCATGTAGCGCGTGTAGTTGCTGTCGCCCAGGCCTGGGGGTCGCACCAGGTGAAACGGGACGAGGGGAGAATGGGGGTGGCGGTCGTGAGGGAGAGGGGCGATGTGTGCTATGCTGCAGGGTATGGCTCGATCAGCTTAATTGGGAGCCATGCGAATGAGGCAGCAAACGGACGTGGAAGGAAGCCAATTGCCAGCGCGCCAGCCCATGGCATCATCCCTCCTACACTGCAAGCGCGCAGCAGCAGCAGCAGCAGCAGCACGCACCGCAGACGGTGTATTTGAGGTGCGAGAGAAGCGAGGGCGAGAGCGAGCGGCGCTGCAGCGCGCCCATGAAGCGGTCGCAGTTCTCGGGGGGGTCGCCGTCGCCCGTGCTCGACACCACCACCACCGCCACCGCCACGCCGCGCAGCTTCTCCTGCTCACACGGGCAGCAGAGGCCGTTGCACAGAGAGCGAGGGACGAGGGAGAGGGGAAATGAGCGCGGGAGGGTCGAATAGGAGAGGGGGACGAGGGAGAGATTGGGTGTCCAGTGGGCAACGCCGTGATGGGTGAAGTGCGGGCGAGCGCGTGCGTGAGAGCAGTTCCTTCCCAGTGATACCCCTCGTTCCCACGATGGACTGCCCCTTGCGATCGTCCAATCGCCCCTCTCCTCAACCATCACGTTCCGCCCTCAGAATCACAGCACTCCTCTGTAACCCCCTCAACCGCCCTCCCGCCCCCCTCCCCCAATCTCGCCCGCCCGCACAGCTCTAAACCCTGCACGTCCCCCGCGCCGCGCGTACGAGCGAGTAGTCGTTGAGCGCGTGCACGTGCGAGGGCAGGCCGCGCTGCTGCGCGTCGGCGTTGATGGTCTTGGCGATCTCCATGGCGTTGCCCGTCTGCGACCCGTACAGCACCACCATGCCCTCCGGCCCTGCAACCACACCCAACACCGCCGCCACATACCAGCCCATGCCAAACCACGCCGCCACCGGTACCCAGCACGCCAGGCCAGCACAAGGGGAGGATGGGGACGAGGAGGAGAAGAGCAGCACGTTAGGAGGGGAAAGTACTAACGGGAAGGGCTTTCAAGGGAAGGGCTTTCAAGGGACGGGCTTTCAAGGGACGGGCTTTCAAGGGACGGGCTTTCAAGGGAAGGGCTTTCAAGGGACGGGCTTTCAAGGGACGGGCTTTCAAGGGACGGGCTTTCAAGGGACGGGCTTTCAAGGGACGGGCTTTCAAGGGACGGGCTTTCAAGGGACGGGCTTTCAAGGGACGGGCTTTCAAGGGACGGGCTTTCAAGGGACGGGCTTTCAAGGGACGGGATTTCACGGGACGGGCTTTCAAGGGACGGGGTTCAGGGTTGAGGGTTCGGAGAGTGGTGACGGCAAGTGAATCGTAATGCGGATATCGGCCCATCGAAAGATGAGGGAAGGTTCCAGGAACTAGAGACGGCAAGCGGTGGAGAGGAAGAGCACGAGATGGATCGCTACACTACCACGTAATGCCTGCGGCTTACTCTTTGGTCCCTCCGCCGCGCCTTCCGCGATCTTGATCGGCGCAGCCGCAGCACGAGCGGCGGCGCGCGTGGCTTTCGCCTTCATAGCGGCCGCCATGGCCCTCGCGCCGGGGGAGATACCCTGCGAGCTCAGATACGCAGCCGTGCCATCCGCCGCACCATCCGCCGCGCCATCCGCCGCGCCGTCACCGCTACCTCCCTGGGCAGCGCCACCTGCGCCAGTGGCTTCCGCCGCTGGCTCCCCGGCAGAGACCGGCGCAGCTGCTGGCGCAGGAGCTGCCGCTGCTGCTACCGCTGCCGCGGGCGCAGATGGCGCCGCTGCGAATGCTGGCGGAACAGCCGCTTCCCCTGCCGGCTGCGCGCCCGCGGAAGCGTCCGCAGCCGCAGATCCGGCGTCAAGAGTCCCCGCTTGTGCGGACTTCTCCTGGAGCGACCCAAGGGGAGGGGAGGAGCTGGACTTGACCAGCGGAATTGCCGGCGGGGGGAGCGGAGCGAGCCCGCCCCCCCCAGATCCGCCGGCGGCGCCAGCTGCGGCTTTGTCGTCTTCCGCGGACGGGGAGGAAAGGAGTTGCGTGACGGCTAGGGCGGCGGCGGCAAAAATTAGTGGACGGAGAGACGAGGGGAGGAGGAAGCACGCGAGCGCGGTCGCGACGGCGACGCTCCCTAGGACGATGAGCGGCTTGCGTCGGTCCCGCATGTCTTGCTGCTGCTGCCGTTGCTTCGCGGAAGGGGACGGGGATGACGGCCTATTCGACGGCTGGGATTGACTCGACTGGGATCGGGAAACCTGCGAATTCTGCGAGGTTGGGGGAAGCTGCTGCTGTTGCTGCTGCGGTTGCTGCTGCCCTGGCGCCGCGGAGCCGCCTCTGGCGTCTCGATCCACTAGCTGATAGCTCTGTGTGGCTGGCGCTGATTGCGACGACTGGATCGGCTGGTGCGACTGCGATTGCTGACTCGCCAGCTGCTGCTGCCTCTGGCCTAGCTGCTCCCGCAACAGTCGCTGCTTCTCTTCTAGATCTCGTAACACAAACCCCGCTTTCTCTCTCTCCTCCATCGAAAGTGCCTAGGCCTAAGCGAGCGACGAGGCTCGCGCTGGCGGAAACCACCAGATCGCGGGTCGGACCAAAGGGATGTACGCAGATCGCGGAGAGAAGGACAAGCCGTGCACGTGAGTGAACCGGGCGAGTGCAGGAACTGCCTGTCAAAGCAACACAGCAGCGAAAGACGGGGGACAGGGAAGGGCAGGGACGAACCACGTGTACAGAAAAACTCATCCCCTGGCCGACAAGCCCCTTCCCCCCGACCAAAACGGGGTGTCAGGTTGAGGTGAGGTGTGAGGCAGGGCCTAGTTTTCAAGCGTAATTACCCGGAATGAAAAAAAACATTAAGAGTTGGCGCTGGGCTCGTTCCGGAATTTGAACGGGTAGAGTTATCGGGGTTTCCGGAATTTATAGAAGTGGCGTTACGGGGGGCTTCGGGCAGATCAGAATTCGCTGGGGGGGCAATCCGGCTGCAACTGCTAATAAATACCCCCCCCCCTCCCCTTCCCCCCTCCTCGCACCCAGGGTGGCAGAGACATTTTACCGGCTAAGTCCCCAACTTTCAGAAACAATCCCACGGAGCCCCCGAACCCAGGAAATTCGGCGAAGTCCCTCACACAGTTATAACTCCTCCCACACAACTCAGAAAATTCGGCTAAGTCCCTAACTTCCAGCAGCATTCCTTCCTTCACCTCGCAACCAAGCAAAAATGGCGAAGTCCCCCACACACAGACATACCGTACTCCTCTCACCCGCACCACCCGGAACCCAGAATTTTCGGCTAAGTTTGTCACAGCCAGGAACATTCCATCCTCGACCACAGAGGAATTCGGCTAAGTCCCTCCCAAATAGAGATAGTCCTCCTACCCACACCCACGAAACTTATAAATGTCGGCTAGTCCTTATTGCAGGAACATTCCTGCCTTTACCTTAAAATATAGAGAATTTGGCTAAGTCTCCCTTACACCTAAATAATTTAACACATAGAGACTCCTCCCACCCGGGCCACCCTATACCTAGAATATTTGGTGTCCCTCACAGACTGGCAAATTCCTCCTACAGCCCCGCACGCCTACGCAGCTAGGAAGACTTGGCTAAAAACATTTAGCCACGTTCCCCTCTTTCCCCTTCTCGCAACCCAGAAAGTTGTGAAGGTTGCTGACACAGATTCTACCCTACGTTAGCGGGTTTGTCAGAAAACTGGCGGAAGAAATTAGCACTCTTAGCATAGCAAATCCAAAAGTACTCTTTTTTCTGGCACGCCACAAATGTTACCCTGTTTGGACCTTGAATTTCGTGACAAGTCCGAGTCAATGTTTGCTGTGACTCGGCTAAAAGTAACTTTGTACCCGAATCCGGATGAAACAGAAATCAACTACCCTGAAATCCGGACGAATCAGGGTGCAGGGGGGTGGGGAATCCGGGAGAAACAGAGCTCCAAAAAACCTTCGCGTGAGCCCTGGTGTGAGGCGGAGGTGCCAGAGCGAAGCGGCCCTTGCGGTCGAGACCTGTCATGATGCTTGCATCCGATTGCCTATTGTGGCGGGCACCTTTTGAGTGCATGCATGGGTCAACTCCGTTGTAAGATATCCGTTTCAAGCAGTTGAAGCCAACCAGAAATACATTGCTTTCCACATATCTCTGCCTGGTTGTCAGTGAATTCCAAAGCAGTGTGGTTCGGACGCACAACCTCCCAAACCAGCTTGAATGCTTGGCTGCTGCTGCACCAAGCCTAGCCTGCTCTGGCTCACTGACAGAAATTGCTTGGACAACAGGTCACCAAAAAGCGTCACCAAGGTCAGCCATCAACAGTCCCCTGCCGAAATTTGCAACCAGTTATTCCGATCGCCCAATTCGCCGCGCTCTCGTCCTCCACACGAATCTTGATTCTGCGTGTACTCAAGGCCGTCGCACGGCTCCTGCGACTGCAATGGCCAATACGAATCAAACACACACACACTTCCACCTCGCGACGACGGTTCGCTTCTGCCGAAGGTGTGTGCGAGTGCAACCACGCCTCCGCTGAGCTCCCCTCGTGTATAGTACACTCCTTCACGTTTGTCACACAACTAGGGCCTTCACACCTCTCTTCTGGAGAAGAGCTTTCCCTCTCACGAGAGCATCCACACGAACCGCAGAGCTTCCGTGCTTGGTGAAAGCCCTTTCCCCAGCCGCCTATCTCACTCTCCGCGCCTCCTGTGCGTCCATCGAGATCGTCTCCAGTGATCCGCCTCGACCGTCGGATTATGCGATCTCCGTTCACCAGCTGCGTCGCTCGCGTGGCGAGGGGAGCATCTCGCCGCATCCACTCCATCGATCGGTTCGCACCTCCTTCGGCCTCGCCAATTGTCTCGTCGCCCATCTCTCCCGCAACCTACGTAACCCTCTCCACCCCCTTCACACCATTACAGCCCTTCTTCTCCGCAAACCCCCTTCCGTTCTCCGTCAAACGCGCCGGCGAATTTCTGCCGCCTGCAGCGGCCGCCGCCGCGTCTGCCTACCCTTCTCGAATCTCCTCCATTCGAGCCATGGAGGTCGTCAGCGCCCCCCACGCCGACCCTCTCTCGTCGTCGCCGGCGTTCGCCAACCGCGCGTGCGACGCGTCCGTGCTGTCGTCAGCCGCGGGCAAGGCCGCGGCCGTCGCATTGGACAAGGCGTTCTTCCACTCCTCCACCGCTAAGAAGGCGCTCGCTCCCGCGTCGGCCCCAAAAACCGCTCCGGCTACTGCTGCCGGGTCCAGCGGCGGCGGCGAGGGTTCTGGCGGAGTGAAATCCGCGGAGAAGCGGCACCGCGCGCGCGTGTACACGCGCACGGGGGACAAGGGCACGTCGTCGCTGTACACGGGCGAGCGGCGGCGCAAGGACGACCACGTGTTCGGCGCGCTGGGTGATGTGGACGAGCTGAACAGTGCGCTGGCCGTGGCGGCGGAGTACTGCCGCGTGCAGGGCCTCAAGGAGCTGTGCGAGCAGGTGAGGGACTCAGAAGCAACGTAGAAATTGAATGCCGGGGGCTCATGTCATGTGCTTCAAGCGTTATGCGCGTCAGGGAGAACTGCGTCGTCTGTCATCTCCGCGTCATTATGTGGGTTGGGAATTGCAATGGGAATTGACCTAAAATTTGAAGATGGGGGAATTGAGCTGTCTCGCCTCGCACGTTCCCTGTCGCTCTCCAGTCCGTTCAACCTGCCGCAATTCCGCTCTCGACTCACTTGCGCCAGTCTTTCCTCCGCCTCCCTTTTCCCTCCAATCTTTCAATCCCCCGTCCCTCTCCCCCTTCCCCCCTCTCCCCCTTCCCCCCCTCGCCCCCAACCCCACCTTATCAGATCGCGACCATCCAGTCGCGTCTGCTGGACGTGGGGTCGGTCGTCGCCACGCCGCCGTCGTCCGCGTCCGCGGCGAAGCTGCAGCGCGTGCGGTTCGATCCGACGGCGGTGGACACGCTGGAGCTGTGGATCGACTCGCTGGACGAGAAGCTGCCGCCGCTCACCGCTTTCATCCTCCCCTCAGGTGCGCGCCCCGCCCCACCCATCCTGACCTTCATCCCTCCTGGCCTGCTTGCTGATCGCTGGGTTTACCATGTGTGGGCGGGCGGCTCTGATGCCCTGTGCTTGGTGCACTTGTGCGTCTGACGCCAGCCGCCCTTCCATGCCCGCCCCCCCTCCCTGTCTGCCTGCCAGTGCCACTATCGCCAAATTATTTCCTCGCTCTCTCCCCCTTTGCGTCGCGCTAGGTGGCATGGCAGCGGCGCATCTGCACTTGGCGAGGTCCATCTGCAGGCGCGCAGAGAGGGCCGTCATTGCTGTGGCCGCAGAGGATGAGGAGATGCAGCAGCAGCAGCAGCAGCAGAAAGCACAGGAGGGTGCAACTGATGGCACCGATGCTGCAAGCTCGGACTCAGAGGTCGCTGTGCCCCGCATTGATCCTTTTGTGATGCGCTTCATCAACCGCCTCAGCGACTTCCTCTTCACTGCCGCCCGATTCGCCGCCCAGCACGCATGCAGGACAGAGACAGTTTACAAGAAGGCAGCTGTGCAGGCCTAAGAATATGGTAGGTGCAGAGTGGCTACATGCTAACAGGGTTCATGTCATGACCTTCCTCATCACTGATGCAACGAGGCTCCCTTCCCTTGTCCGGGAACAGCTGGCAGTCAGTCGGCCCTCCGGTGGGTGGTGTATTTTGTGAAAGTGGTACCCTCATCAGATCGGCAATGTAGGAAGTGTGCACGGAACATGTGCAGATATTCCAAATTCATAATGTTGTGTGTTTTTTATGGAAGGCCTGGCCGACCCTTAGTTTGCTACACGAAATTCTTTGGTCTTGTTGTACATAGAACTGTACCTGCACCTGAATATTAGACGACAGAGTACCTATGACACAAGAAATTAAAGAAAAAGTATGTTTTAGTACGAACACATAACATTACAACTTACATAATGCGGGTGCAGTATTATAAACAAAATCCGCGGAGATATGAACAAGTTTGTGCTTCACAGACGTCTGCCGATAACACTCTGAAAGGAAGCCGCTAGTGAGAAGTGGGGAACCATGTGCAGTCGCAGGGGAGAATACCAAGGCAGAACAGGCAGCTAGCTGCCAGAGCCGTTCCATCCATCCATCCATCCAGTCTATCCTGGCTCTAAGAAAAGTCCCGGTCGGGGAAGAGTAGCGGCGCCACCAGAGCCCACACGTACAGCAGCCCCGTGCCCCACTGCTGCAGCAGCTTCACCGACACCGACCCCCACCCCACGTCAATCAGATACTCTGCCTCCCCGCCGCCCGCCGCCTGCGCGGACGACCCCACGCCCCACCCGGTGAGCAGCATGGCAGAGTAGGCGGCGGCGAGCGCGAAGATGAGGTGGAAGAACGAGTAGCTGTACGCCACATGCTCCGCCGGCTCGGGCTCGCTGGGGGTGGCCGCGGCAGAGGTGGGGGGCTTTGATGCATCGGCGTCGGCGGTGGTTGGGAGAAGCGGATGCTCGAGGTCTGAGGGGAGGATGACGAGGAGGGTGCGAGAGGGGAGAAGGGTTGGTGGGTGGAGAGATTGGGGGAGGGGAAGTGTCAGAAGGTAGAGTAACATGAGGAACTAGTGGACTCTGCCTGAACGCAAGGACACAGTTTAGCATAGCACTGAGTTCAGCACTGGGTTTCCTTAGCCACAAAGGCAACAACTGCCACGTCGCACACGAGCAGGAGAGCGGTAAACCGCGTGGCCGTACCATCTTCCTCCGGAGGCGAGAGCAGAGCGGTGGAGGAGCCGGCCCTGACGGCGGAGTAGGCAACGGAGAGCAGTGCGCCGAGCATGGAGAGCGCGAGGCGCGTGGAGGAGAGCGAGTTGAGGTGCGGTGCCAGCCCGTTGCACTCGTAGTCGCGCGGCTCCGAGCATAGCGCCGTGGCCGCCACGTACGTGCAGTAGATGGACACGATGGACGCCGGGAGCAGGCTGCCGTTCACCTGGGGGAGGGGAGAGCAAGGTAAAGAGAGAGCACGGAGAATGGCACAAGACGAGAGAGATGTGGCGTTTGTCGATGTAGTTCGGAAGAGGGGAAAAGGGGGCACGGAGCATAACGTCTAATGATGGAGAGAAGCAAGACAGGCAGGGCGGCATGGAGGGGAGAGGGGGGTTGTGGGAGGAGGGGGGAGTGAGAGAAGACAGGCAGGGTGGCATGGCGGTGGGCAGCGACCTTGTTGTGCAGGGAGACGGCGGTGAGGGCGACGATGAGCAGGGTGGAGAAGAAGAGGATGAGCTGGTTGGTCTGGCACGTGTCGCTGTTGGGCACGAACCACACCGCCAGCACTATCAGCAGCGCCACGCACACCACGTACGCACCGATGGACACCACCAGCATCGCCATGTACCTGCCGGGAAGGACCAGGGAGAAGGGGAAGCGAGGGGGAGGGGGAGGGGAGGGAGGGGAGAAGAACAGGTTAGTGTGTGGGGGAACTTGGGAAAGTGAAGAGAATTGGGCGAGGAAGCAACGCGGAAGGAGGCGGACACGCGCACACCCGCCGTGAACGCGCTCCCTTGCCGTCATTGCTAGCTGCGCGGCCTAAGAAGCCGTCACTTACCCTCCCAGTGCGGCGCGACGTACCATCTGTGCTCGTCCCTGGACGCCCAGTCGTCGTTCCACGCGAAAACAAAGTCAAGCAGTATCATGGCCTGCACGAACAGAAACACGAACGACCCCCCCCGACAAACGTAGCCTGCAAGGGGGGGAGGGGGGAGAGGGGGTGTGTGTGGCGGGGAAAGAGTCGAAAGTAGATTTGCGCGTGAGAAATAGAGAAGGAGAAGGAGAGGGCAGTGTTGGGTGGGGAGAAACGACGAGTTCAACGTAGAGGAGGGATAGGTGGATGGAAGAAAGAATGGGGGATGGGAGGGAGGGACGGCCGAGCGTAAGCGATGGCGGACCAAGGCAGAAGAACAGCGCGGGTGGTAGCGTAGGCGGAGGAATTGAAACACATGCAAGAAGAGAGGCGAGGAACACAAGTTCGGGTGTTACCGTAGGCGGAGACGACGGAGTCGGGCACGAGGAACGCGACGACGAGCAGCAGAAGCCAGGCGACGAGCTTGAGCCACCAGCCGCCATGGTGCCAGGCGTCGCGGTAGTCGGACTGCAGCTGCACGTTGAGCAGCAGCAGCGCGAGCAGCACGAAGAAGAGGCTCGTGCCCAGCGACACGCGCAGCACCGCCTGCTCCTGGAACCACGCGCTGTCCGGCACGTGGATCACGTGCATGGGGTCCAGCGCTGACGTGGGGGAGGAGACGGGTGCACGGGGGGGAGGGGGGAAGAAGTGAGATTGAGGGCCGGATGCCGCGATGCGGTGGTGTGGTAGCAAGGCCATGGTTGGCGGAAAGGATACGCGGAGGGAGAACGGAAATTCGAAGTGAAAAGGGGAAAGGAAGGAGGGGGAACAGAGACGTGAGGCGGGAAAGGGATACGGAGGAAACGCTGGAAAGGGAGAAAGAAACAACGACGGAACGCAGATGAAAAAACGGCGCGCGTTCTGAGCGGCGACGCACTTTCCGCAAACGTGAGCAGCGGCTGAGCGTAGTCACGGACGAGCCACGAGAGCAGCAGCGACAGGGCGAAGAGCACAACGTAGGCGAGACGAGCCGTGCTCCGATTGATGCTTCCGACAACGTTCCTGCACGCCTCGCACGCGCACGCCGTGCAGCACACGGCGGCGCACGACGGACCCACTCCCATGGCTGCCTGCTGGGAGGGACGACTCGGGATCCTACACTCCGGTAACGAGAGCGGGACCAACGATAGTCAGGAACGAAGAAGAAAAAGCAAGGCAGACAGCCGACAAACTAAGAAGTAGCGAAGGCCTTTCGTCTGAGAACCGCGTATAAGGAGTAGCTCGAAATGGAGGAAGAAAACCTAGCTTGCAGTCTGATAGCAGCTGATGGTAGACTGTCTTGGAGGTGGGGCGGTGGACAAGAAAGGGTGCAGAAAGGTGCAGTGTGATTGAGAGAGGTTGGAGAAACATCCTGGGAAGGAGCTCTCAACCCAACCGAGTCCAGCCAGCACACGCGCGCGACGAACCCTGGGAGGCGGGGCACTTGCGGGAGGACGCAGGCAAGGGCGGACGACAGGTGTTGCGGGAGGCAGAAGGGTGCGCGCGGTGGCAGGGTAGCGGGGGAAAAGGGCGGAGGGACTGGGAAACTGTGGGGCTGTCGGAGAGGGCTTGGGGAAAGGCAGAGATGCGGTGTTGATCGGCGCAGAAACCTGGAATGCTCGGTACAGAGTGTACTTCAATACGAATATGTCTATCTGAACACTCAACTAATATTCACCCTTTCATCTTACAAGCGAAACAATCTCTCCAAGGCTTGTAGCGAATCTTCATCACATGTGCCTCAGTCCTACGTCCGATCGGCTACCTGACCAATCACTGTAAAATTTGAGCCTTGGTTCGCCCTTGCCTAAGATCGTGTTCTGAAGTTTGGCCGTCCGACTCGCCACGTCAGCGAAAGTTTTGGCCAAAGTTTGAGGTTTTGGTTGGCAAAAGTTGTGGTAGGCAAACTTTAGCCAACCCCAATGTGAAAAACTAGGGGACCAGCCCTCAACATTTTGCAAACTTTATCCCATTGCGCCAAATCAAATCGACAGGCGATCCGCAAAACGATTTGCGACATAACACAATCTGGGTCGCAGAGGTCTGCGACACCTGACGGCCAGCTTCCGAATAATTTTGGGAAAGTTGTCTTGAAAAATATTCACCAAATTTCCACCATAATAAAAAAGTTAAAACCAGTGCGCCAAGTAGTTCAACGGCAGGTAGTTTGGTTGAGTGGAAAGACGGGATTGGCTGTCAAGCAGCACTTCTAGTGATCTCCCAACCAAAGATACAATGTCAACTTATACATATCATGAATGTAGAAGTTATAGGCTACTATAGGTGTGTGCTTTTACTGAGTACAACCCAACTGCTATACGTTCCCTGTTTCCCCTCTAGTAAAACATTCTCGTATTCTAACATGGTATCGAGTAGGTTAGGTCCATCCGCCCGCTTCCGCCCGCCCTAGCCTCTCTACCTACCTAGCCCGCTTGGCCTGTAGCGCCCGCCCGCCCCTTAGCGCCCGCCCCTTAGTGCCCTCCTGGCCCCCGTCGCGCCCGCCTGGCCCTGTCGCGCCTGCCTGGCCCCGTCGCGCCTGCCTGGCCCCGTCGCGCCCGCCTGGCCCCATCGCGCCCGCCTGGCCTCCTCGTGCCTGCCTGGCCCCGTCGCGCCCGCCTGGCCCCGTCGCGCCCGCCTGGCCCCGTCGCGCCCGCCTGGCCTCGTCGCGCCCGCCTGGCCCCGTCGCGCCTGCCTGGCCTCGTCGCGCTAGCCTGGCCCCGTCGCGCCCACTAGGCCCCCCCCGTCGCGCCTGCCTGGCCCCGTCGCGCCCACCTGGCCCCGTCGCGCCCGCCTGGCCCAGTCGCGCCGGCCTGGCCCCTTAGCGCCCGCCTGGCCCTGTACCGCCCTCCTGGCCCCCGTCGCGCCCACCTGGCCCGTAGCACCCTCCTGGCCCCGTCGCGACCTCCCGGCCCCGTCGCGCCCTCCCGGCCCAGTCGCGCCCGCCTGGCCCCGTCGCACCCTCCTGGCCCTGTCGAGCCCGCCTAGCCCCACCGCGCCCGCCTGGCCCCACCGCGCTCACCTGGCCCTCTAGCGCCTACTTGGCACCCGACCGCCTAGATAGTGCTCGCGACCACTTCCTTAGCCAGCACCCGGGTGACCTCACCCTGACCGCCTTTGTCGACACCCTCACCGAGATCGAGACTCGCCAGCGCACTATCGCTCAGTCGAGCAGTGCGCCGGCAGTCTCTATCTTTCACGGTTGTGCCCCCTCCCAGTGCACGTTTACTGACGTTTCGGCTGCGGTCGCCACTGCGACCCCTCTTACCGAGACTGCTGCTGCGGTCCACCCGTAGCAGCGCTCGCGTCGCGGTGGCCGTGGCCGCCAGGGAGGTCAGGGTGGTGGCACTGGTGGTGGTGGGAGTGGTAGTGGTGACGGTAGTCCGCTTGAGAGGACTACCACCGGTGGGCAGGAGCAGACGCAGTCCCCTCCGCAGCAGAAGCAGCCCCAGCAGCAGCCGCCGTCCCAGCAGCAGCCGCAGCAGTGGGCCCGTCTCCCGCCTGGTTGGCCCGGCACCTCCGGAGGTAGTGGCCGTGGTGGCGGCCCGCGCAGCTCGGCATCTACCGGCGGCTCCGGTGCTGTGACCTGCCAGTACCAGCTTCAGACTGGGCCTCTTCGCGGCACTCTGTGCCGTCGCCCGCACCCTACCGCCCACTGTTTCCGCCGCCTCGACGATCTCTTTCGTCGTCGCTTTGGCCCGGCCCCGGACCTCCCCGACTGGCACAGCCTGCTCCGCCAGGGCGTGCCGATCTTTGAGTTAGACATGGATCAGATAGGTGCTGTTTTGCATGCCTTGTATTCTGACGATTCTAGTACTGTTGGATCTTATTACCCTGTGTACTCTAATTTAGGTGTTGCACCCTTGTGTAGCTTAGCCTCCCCTGCTGCGTCAGGCGTAGGACTGCGTAGTTTGCCTAGCCTTGTCTCTGCACCGGCTCCGTTCCCGGCCTCTGCCACTGCTTCGCGGTCCTTCACTCTCGACTCTGGTGCTTCTGCTTGCTTCTTCCGCGACCGTTCCACGCTCACGCCGCTTGCTGCAACTGCTGTTGTCTCTCTCGCTGACCCCTCTGCGGGCCCTGTCGTCGATCGCAGTTCCACGTCCCTTCCCTGTCCCGCAGTTCCCTCGGGCTCTCTTACAGGCCTCCACGTTCCCTCGTTCTCGAGGAACCTAGTTGGTGTCGGCTGTCTCCAGGACCTCGGCATCACCACTACGTTCCATGGGCACGAGCGGTTCGCTGTCTGTTCTGAGGCTGTCCCAGGTTCCCCCCTTGCGACGTTCCCCCAGGACCCGGTGTTCGGCCTGTTCACCCTAGACACCGCTTCCCCTCCGGTTGGTGCGTCCTCCCAGGTTTCTGCAGCTTGCTCGTGTCTGTCCCTCACTTACCCGTCCCTTCTGTGGCACCACCGCCTAGGTCACCCTGCACTCCCGCGTCTGCGTCACATGTCCCAGCACGGTCTTGTCTTAGGCCTCCCCGCGTCGCTCCCCGCCCTTCCCCTCTCGCCTGCTCCACCGTGCACGCCCTGCGTCGAGGGCCGGCTTCGCCGTGCCCCTCACTCCTCCTCGCTTCGCCCTGCTACTGCTCCCCTTCAGACCATGCACCTGGACGATTGGGGCCCAGCCCCCGTCCTCGGACCTCGTGGCGAGCGCTACTTTCTTGTGCTTGTCGACGACTACACGCGCTACACCACGGTGTTTCCCCTGGAGCGGAAGGCCGACGTGCCCACCTTATGTTACTCCGTTCCCACTCGTCTCGTCCTCCCCTCCTCCCCTCGCCTCCTCCCTCA